CGTTTAAGATACCCCGTAATGTACACCCGCGTAATAATATAATCGTGTCACGGGAAATTCGTCGTCTCTTCGTAGTTTCCAACTGATCTCCCTCGCCTATCTCGAGCGTTGAAAAGGACGCGAGTTTCGGGGCTCGGAGAACGCGATTGGAATTTCCCGGAGCATCAGATATTCCACGCGTTTTCGTCTTCCCGTATTCTCTTAGGCTTCAGCAATTTTAATCGGAGATTTTGTAAATTTTCCATTGTTCGAGGAATGCAGAATTAAAAACATAAATGAACGTTGTCTCTCTTCGAATGTACATTTTCGAGATAAAATCCTCTACGGGATTGATGGACGGTTTATAAAATTTTTGAACAATGTTGCGAGTGGAAAGTATTACGAATTGAATGGCCGAATTCGGTTTTAAACGTTTTACAAATATGGAAATGATTAAGTATAACGAGTTTCAGTTTTATGAGGATTGTACATGTGATTTTCATGATTGCCCTTTTTGGCGGATGACCGAATAATTTTTTTTATTTTATCCTCTGGTAATGGAAGGTCTTTCGTTAAATTAAACGTCATTCTGCGAATATACAGCTTGAAGGATGGGATATAAATCAGAATGAACGAGGAAATACGTGATGCATCATCATTAATAATAATGAAATATGTGATACGAGTTAATGATTCATACATATCGCAATTCATACTTTTTCTGATCAATATTTTAGCTTTCAAATACGTTCTTAAAGTATACAAAATTTTACTGTTAATTAAATTAAAAATTTTTTGTTACTAGCTGTACACGTGCAAATTATTTAACGTATTTCAAGTTGAGTTAACAAAATATGGTGATGACATTTTTATATTTACGGTTCGTTTTCGCTGGTTCTCGTTTTCGCGGCGTACTCAAAATTCAATTATACCTGGAAAGAAGACAGGTGGTTCTATATGCTAGTCGCTGTTCTCGACAGAACGGAATGAAGTTCGAGGAAAAAGGAGAACGGGGAGTGCCCGTGTCGGAAGTACCTCGAGAGTTTGGCCACGACGTCCTTCCTCAGCAGGATGTTGTTCAGGGTATTGATCGTGTCCACTTGCAGGGTAAAATCCTGATCCTCGGGATCGCCCGGATCAATCACGACTCCGTCTATGCTCGGTCCGAATGCGGGTGCGAATTCCAGCCCTTTTACGGGCACCGAGACCAGCGCGTTCAGCGGCACCTGCCTCAGGCATCTGAGCAGCGCTTGAGGATCACCCGCGGCCTGGACAAACAATCGACACTTTTTTAATCAAGAAAGAAAATAAATATGACGACGATTCTTTAAATTGACGTTGTAAATCGTGATAAATTATGAAGAATTGACGAATCGTAGGTGAAACGGAGTGTGTAAACTGGAAATGATTCGCGGGTCGAGAAAGGGGTTGATAAACGGCGATAGGTAACTATAGCGCGTTAACTTGCTTCAGTTCGTTCCACGGAAATGAATCGCTCTGGCTGGCGGGCCTCTAATCGTCCTTATTCGGAAACGTCGCTGGAGCAGACCGGCCACGATCGAACGTCAACCGAGCTGCTACGTCGAGGAAATTGGTGGAAGCGAGGACGTATTGCGAGTACCGATGGGGTAAAGTCTAGCCAGAGCGAGAAGCATCGATTCGTTCGACGAATTTAATCGGGCCGCTAATATGCTGGTAGCAAAACGACGGTGACGGATGAAGATTTGACAATTTTTTAGGGGCTGAAGCGCGGCGACCTCGTTCCGCGACTCGTGATTGGTTCCCGGTACTTGCACGGGTGCTCGCAGCTAAACCGTAAAATTAGACCGATAGCTTGCTCTCCGTTCGTTTGATTTCATCCAATCGGCGGGATTAAGAAACCTCCGATAAATCGTAGAATTAAATCAATAATTACCCTGCGGATATTTCAATCTCCCGAGAGCTCGTCGATTAAAGTGATTTATCGTTTCTTATTTCTAAATAAAATTCGTTCTCCTCTGGTTCGTGTTTTTCGTCATAATCGGAGCCAAGACGGTGTAATTTCAATTTTGTAATATAATTTTGGTAAACTCTTAATTCGTGGTGTAAACTCTAAGTTTCGATGGGATGTTCCGATCAAGAAATATTCGACTGCGCCCTCGAACCACTCTTCGCGTTAACAACGTGATCATCGACCCGAATTCGGAAGCAACGATCTCGGCGCAGACCCTCCGACTAATCCGGCCGCGCCGCAGGCCTTTCAAATCCGGCAGCGAAATTAATTTTGTCATTTTTTCGCCGCGACAAATTCAATCAATTCCAGCTGGACCACGGGCTATCGGTTCGCGTAACATAATACCGCATCGTTTCCCATTTCGACCGTTCTCTTCCACCCCTTTTTACCTTTTTTTTTTCCCTTCCCTTTTTTTTTTTTTTTTGTTTTATTCGTTCCACTCGACGGGAACAACGACGGCGGTGAAAAGGCGCGGTGGGGTCGGCCCCGGGAAACAATTGGGTCGCGCTTATCCCGATTCTACGTTTAATCGTTATTTTCAATCGGCTGCAAATCGAGGGTCTGCTTAGGCTCTTCGTGTTCCAATGAGGAACGGAGTGGCTCCGAGTAGCCCGAGCGCGTCCGCTACCTATTGCCTCTCGAAACGGTACGATGAAATTCAGATTCTTTTCCATGTCATGCATATTTCTCTCATCGCGTTTCGCTGCTCCAAATTGTTGCCAATCGATACGCAGTCGAAACTGGGAATGATTGTTCACGTTCAAGTGGAAACTACGATGTAAGTAGTAAAACAGCGTATATGGTCGGACACGACGTAAAATCGTTCGTCTGCTCCATTTTTAATGTGATTAAAAATGGTTTTACGACGGAGAATGTTCTTGGAATTCAATCCAATTTTCTTATCACCGAAATAAGATTGAAATTCTATATAAAATCTGCTACGATAAAAATTGCATGGATTTTAAAAGAAATTAAAAATATTTCATTGATGCACGCAATAATGCTTTTCGATTCTGGCTCGCATGAACGATTAATTTAGCAGATTCTGCAGAAATTCGCGATGACCAAAGACGCGTTCGGCCGTTGTAAACCTTTGTTTGGCCAACGTGTAATTTTGTGAGAGCGGCGCGGGGCGGAAACGGGTCGGGTCCGCGGAAGCGTAACGCGGTCGGACATAAATTAAACTATCAAACGAAACCGGCGGGCGGGGTGTACGGGAACGCGGATGTTTTTACGTCCGTTAGTTACGCACTAGCAATTATATTAACAATGCGTTTCAATTAAGCTAATATGCGCGCCGCGCGACATTCCCGCCGAGAGTTAGCCCGCGCGTTTCGCATTTTAACGCAGCCACCTCCCCCCCAGCCCCTGTCGAACAAAATTAAACTGCTGTTTCCTAAATGCACCTCGCAAAAATTTCATCTCATTATCTACAATGGATGAAAATATTATGAGACGAGCTCGACGTAAAATCCTAATTCCTATTTCTTCTAAAGTTGTTATTGATTTCCCGTCTGAAGCGGTTAGAAAGTTTTAAGAAGGTAGAGCGCGATCATACCGTGTACGTGTCGTATCCACGAGAACTGCGGAAGAGGGTGCGAGAGTGGGTGGCAAAGAGAGAGAGAGAGAGAGAGAGAGAGAGAGAGAGAGAGAGAGAGAGAGAGAGGAGCTGGAGAATTTGTTTCCCTCGCGGGGAATGTCTGGCGGTTTATTTGCTTCGGAGTTGTCGTCGAACCGGAGACCTTAATGTAATGCACTCCGTACCAGTACTCACCCACGAGCAATTTAGATGTTTGGCAACTTGCAGAGCGTAATTTGCGGCTCCTCTCACCAGCGCCCACGGAGAAAGCGCGCTGCCAGACATTAGAACGCTCCGATGGAACAGCTGCCCTGGAACAATCAAAAAGTAATGCGCCCCGGTTAATCGTCTTTCATGGTGGCCGTTCGACTATACAGAAATTGTTAGATCCTTCTGAAACATGAAATTTAATCAAGGGATAAGATCACGTCGTATTATCC